CGTGGGCGATTGTACTGACAGGTGTTCAGTTTAACTCGTGATCTGCTTCGTAGATGTGGGCAATATACGGTGGACATAATCAAAATCGACGGTCAAAGTGTCAATTATACCAGTGCAGTTCAAATGTCCGGGTACATAAATAAATTCTCCCTGTGATCGAGCACCCTGCTTCTTCTCTACTATACAAACACCAGGTCTTCGAATTCCTGTAGTCAATTTTATTAATTGCGGTTTCCGTCTTCAAAGACTCTTGGTCATTTTCACTTATTGCTGTTGTATAGACTGTATCCATGTAATGCAGGTGCAACGCTGCAAGATTGGATTATATGGTGGAGTGCGTAGAACAACCGTGGACGGCCATGCAGCAATATGTGGAGGCTGTGAATTCTAGCGTCAAGGTAAAAGCACGTTCGGTGTACTTTGCAAACTTGAAAGAGTTTATGTATGTGTTCTGGAACCCATATTACAGCCTTCCTAACCAAACTGCCTACATAGGACTGCGTCCATCTAGGGACAGGGCCGAACACTTTGTCACATTCATATGTGACGTTGAGTAACCCTAATTCACTTCACAGTGTACCTTATTATTGCCAATACAAAAAAACATGCAAGTCCAAGGAAGTAACTGAGAATAATAAGTTTCGATTGCTGGGACAACAGCAGCGTGTTGAGGCGAAATTGCCGAAATACAATACTTCGACGGGTGTTCAGAGAAAATGGCTACCCGCGCAACTTCGTCAGCCGGTGCTTGCGCAAACGAGATTGCCAACAAAATCGCATCAACCCCAAGATTTGGCGAGCGATTTCGTACGTCAAAAACGTATCGGAGGCTGTCGGCCACTCTCTCGCTCCACTTGGAGGTGGAGGGGCCCACATACCAGAGGCAACGAAAAGGCCCTTTCAATGGACGTCCGTTGCGAGGCTGCTGTTTTTGAGTTCTTGAATCCCTACGTCTAGGAAAAAGACTGACAAAGACGAGTGAGACTAGAATGACCATGACAAGTCAACGAGCCCGAGATGCAGTGATTGGAACGTCGGACTGCTAACCAACAAGATTGCAAGTCCGAGACTCAGAGGTCGCCAACCCTGGAGGTGCGTATGGCTGGCTGTTGGTGGCTAATCAACCAGAAACCGCGACATGGTCCTAGACCCTATGCAGAGGGGATTGGGAGGTCTTGTAATCAGTGTCTGTAAAATAAAGCATCTGAACAGCCGTTGTAAAGCATTTGAATGCACCATCATAACCTCAACTTTCCAGATGTTAGGTTGAGTAATCATTCTCACTGTTTCACTGTTTCTGTAAGAAATGACCTAACAAACATGGTTCGCGTTGGATGCCTTATGGATCGCTTGCAAAAGGTTTACCAGGCAGCAGTTAGTTTCTGATAACGATGATGGAAATATTGAGGCCACTCAAGAAGAATATTAGTGAACTGGGGCAGACTGGAAACTACGAACTTCTTAAAGAAGTTCTGTTTGTCATTATATTATTACTAATGATGGCTTGCAGCCCTACGAAGAGAAATCTGGGAAGCATTCATATTAAATCTGTAGTCAAAATGAAATCCTTTCGAGGAGGACAGTCATATTCTCTTTTAATGTAAACGATGAAGTTCGATATTTTATTCGGAAGACTGAACTGTGTTCTACACCTTGAAACAAAAACAAAAAAAACTAAATTTTAATATATTACTACCGTATTAACTACTTTATTAACAAGCTTAGTTTTTCAGTATATATGCTCACTAGTTAAACAGTTTATTTCCGCTGTATGACTACTGTCGAACTATAACGTGACCTCAAAGACAGTAGGCGGAACTGGTCAGTGAGCGTCTATCCCAAAGGTTAATATATCTTATCAAAATTAATCAGACGGGTTAATATCATACAGCCATCAATCAACAGAGAAAATTACGTTGATCTGAATGCAGGTGTTTAAGACCAGTAAAGCGATATGTTTTCGGACTGTACAGAACTTCTGCTGCCTTAAATATCATAAAATAAGCAAAAATAAATAAGCACAAAGCCGGTCTTGGGGTTGTCATATTTATTATCACAAGATATTTCGACCACTTTCTTAAGAATCAACCAATTCTCGGCTTTCATTTTTCGATAATTTTACCTAGGTCTAAAAAGAAGGCAAAGAGGAATCCGGACCCAAACAGACTCTACGTTGGATCCTTGCCCATCTCAGTTAACAATCGTGATCTGCACGAGTACTTCTCCGTATTTGGCATTGTTAAGGAAGCTTTTGTGCTAAAGGGGCACCAGGACAATAGTCGTGGTTTCATCGTCTTCCAGGACGTAAAG